TAGGTGGTGAGCCATGGTGGCCCCGGACCCCTCAACTAATGGTTTTCTCAATTCTGGACCAGACCAAGTCACCAACACTACTGTTGCAGAGGCAGTAGAGACTAGAGACTAGAAACTAGATATAGAACATAGAAGCAGAGGCAGAGAGCTCTCTCACTCTTGTCCCCAGTCCAGTACCACTCAGCATGCAAACCAACACCAAGCCCCCCTAAGACCCAGTAGAGACAAAACATACAATTTGTCAGTGCTCATGTCACGCGTTGGTTCCTTCAATATTGACTTTGTTCTGCACCTCATCGCACTGTTCAGAAGTCGGAACTCAGAAACTGGCCTCCAAACGGAGCCAATCTATGTTCTGTGTTTGTGTTTGTGTATGTTATAGATCGACCCAAAAACAAGGAAAATCTCCAGGGAAGGAAGCAACAAATTGCCTCGGCCCATTTTTATAAGGTTGAGACAGATTTTCTGGTTTTCAGTCTCTAAACAATGAAATTAGATAAAAACTTGAGTTTGGGTGGTCAGAAATCAGAAATCAGAATCCAAAAGGATTTGTGCATGTGGAGTAGAGATGTACTGCTTCTGTTTCGTCAATTCAACTTGCACATGCCAAGTCGCCTTCCATCTCACGTCAACCCCACCTCAATCTCTGCAGCAGCCTGGACTGATGTTGGCGTCATTCTGGGTTGCAGAATTTGTTTCTTGACCTTATCATCATCGCCTTCTCCTTTTGAATTGCAAAACACAATCTCTTCCTTTGATGAACTCCAACCATGGTCCATGGCCTCCGATTCCCAGGATGCAAATCTCTGGACTAGTAGTAGTGTAAAAGAGAAAAGAGATTTTCTCTTGTTTTCTGAATGAAGACATTGGAATCATCATCATATTGCTAACAAATCTGAGGTACTGTACGGCATCATACTGATCCAGATTTAATCCAAATCCCACCACCGACCAAGAACTGGAATCAAAGTTCACGAAGAATTCGCCATGGATGGACATCTGGGTGAAGCAAGGGCAGAAAGTTTAAGCTAAGGATACATTCATGTCTGCTTACACTGTTCATCTGGAAAATGGAAAGCCCACTCACCAACTCTTACTTTTCAGCAGCTCACTATACACAGAACATGTAGAACTACTGAGAACTACATACATACATCCATACATTCTTTTAATACCTCAATTTTGCATTTAAATTTTGAACCCAAAACTTTTTTCTGAGACCATCCATACCTACTTTTAATGAAATTGCAAATTCTTGGGACAATTGATTAAAAATCCTGCTTGTATGACATTATCCATCTACAGAAGATCAGGACCCAGCATTGAATACTTCCAAAGCAAGAGATGTCTTTTCTGAATATGTTCCAACCAAGAGATGTCTTTTCCATGAAACAATATGGTCCATTAGTTTTGGTTTTCCTTTTTCTTTTTTTCTTTTTATCATTACCCAATGTTGGTCCATCCAGGGTTTTGGGAGGAGTGGAATGGAAATGGACATGACCTTCGGCATTTTCTGGCTCAAAGCCTGAGAGTTTACCATTACCCTCTCTATATTTCATTATCTCAAAAAATAAATAAATAAATAAATAACTCAACAACAAAGATCAAAATATCGCAATCTCGGGGAATATCGGCCAATATGTACCGTATCAGTGATTCTCCAATATATCCCTACACTGAGTGTTTCAGGGTCCCACCTATTTCAGGGGTAGACGGGCGTATCAACCTGTATTAATATTTTGGTCTTTGCTCAGTAATTGCTTGAAATCATGGTTTTTTGTTTTCAAAATCACATGAAATTGCCCCAAGAATTTTAATAGTGTACATTCCACTTTTGATAAAGAGGGCACACTCAGTGTAAAGACAGAGATACCTTATTTACAGAGAAAAAGAATCAATACAAACATCTGAAAGTACTTTTTTCGAGGTACTCTGAACAGTTTATCAAATAATATGGGATGTGCCCTAATCATCACCAATGTAAGTTAAAGTTAGAGGAAGCTTCCCTACACAACCAAACTGGCTTATGTGGACAAATAATTGCCATCCAGAGCATCCATTAGATAGAGGGTTTACATTGAACAAAGTTTTCTGGCTGAAATTTCTTCAATAGATATATGGTGGAGAGAGGGATGCAGAGACTTCAAAATAATTTGCCACGTGGATAATACGTTGGTCCTGAAGCTCAGAGGACGATCCTGATTTGTTGAAACACCTCAGGACTGGTACCCGTACAAGGAAAAAAGGATTGTACTCGCTTTGTTCAAATAGCAATCATCCACTGCGCCGGTTTAAACTATAGGCCTATTGAGTCACGGTAGTCTAAATTTTAAGGCCCCATCATCATAATAGGCCTTTAGTGGCCTTGAGGCCAGAACCCACATTCGATAGGCCCTTTGTAAATGTCCAAATAGGTGGATCTAGAGACCAACAAATCAGCCCAAAAAAATTTTTCTCACTCTAACGAAGGATGCAAGCGTCCTTCCAAACACTGTACTGTAGACACATAACCAGCCAATGTTTTAAAATCCGGTCCCAGAACCAGAACCGCTTTGGTCACTGATTTTCGGGTCAGAAGTACAACCATCCAGCCTGAACGGATGGCCCAAAACCATTGTCCATGTCAAACAGGTTGATGGTTCAACCACCCAGATCAGCAGATCAACAGTTTTTGGCAAAGGAAAGGTTCAGGGGTGAAACGGAACTGGTTGCCTGGACAATTTCCAGGCTGAACAGTCCAACCATTTGAATCAATGAGAGTTCGCAAACCATGTAACTAGCATTCTATTAGAGCTAGAAATTATTTGGGTATCGGGTTCAAGTGATGTCTAACTTGATGTGCTAAACCCTCACTATCTCAATTTGAATTTGAGCTAATAATCCATGTATTCGCTGCAAATCATTATTTGGGTCTTGGGCTTCAGGTGATGTCTCACTTGTTGCGTGCTAAATCCTAACCATCTCAATTTGAGTTGAGCTAATCAATCCATGTGCTCTGTCTTGTACCAGTAAAAAGGATTAAGTGGCATAGGATCTCGTTTACAGGATTACCGCCCTGTATGTTGGCCAAACGTCCATCATTGCCAAATAGTTTCCTGTAATTGATAAAAGTAATTGACAGACAAATATATATTCAACCAATGCATCTCTTTATTTTTTTCATGAGTTTTATCCACAAAATGTTAAGAGATAATGGATATCTGTTCAGAATATAGACCAGTTATTTTCTTGATTTCCTCTCCATGCTAAACATCATTAATGAACAGCAGTAACTAGAAATGTATCACAATTTTAACCTAACCTTGAAGCCCCCAAAATCCACATAAACTGTTAATAATCCAGTACTTTCGAAGTTTAGTTTTGGCATCGTGGTGAGAGTCTAGGTAAGCCCATCATTCCATTCCCTGGCATATTTCCCTTTAAGACGACCCCGGGTTGAGAGCTATAAGCCCATCCCCCAACACTCTTCCCCACCTACTCCACCCATCCCAAATCTGAAACCCACAACCTCTGCATCATAGAGCAGCAGCCTGGTAAATTTGCCCACCAGCAACTTAAGTTTGCAGGATAATGATTTACATCACCTATATATAGTAAATATCTGTGTAAGATAATGACTTCAAGTAAGTTTCAAGTGCTTTTCCACACGGATACAGCTATTTCTTTACCAACTAAGCACAAAAGACAAGTAAATTGTCACTGTAGCCTAAGCTTGCATAATTTTTTTGTTGGTTAACTAACAGAAAGTGTTCCATTAACCAGGAGTAAACACCAAGCTGCTCAAACAAATGGGCAGCAAGCTGCAAGCCAAGAAGTACAACAACTTCCAACAACAGAAACCTTAGAAATAATAAAGAGTATAAGTAAAAGATCTGTTACAAATTACAGCCCGGTCCTGAGCAACCCCATCTCTCTCTACCCTGGCTCTTCCCAGAGAGTCTTGCCAACATATTAGCACTCCTAGGAAACCAGTTAAATGAGTTGTTCAAATTGACACCTAGAGAGTGAGTCGATCTCACCAATGGCCTGAATTGCCATGGAATCTAATTATAAGATCTCACCCAGCATATAATTGTTCGGTAGTCACCCTCCATTTCCACATTCCTCAAACCCTGCATCACTGTTAGTTTAGGCCTTGAATTAGGGTCATCAATTCTGCCCTTAGGGAGTTCCCATACCCAGCTGGACGGCTGGACCCAAATAACTGAGGATTATATTGCCTTGAAGGTTTCTAACAACTCCCCCACCCCAGATTACCCAAACAGCAGCCATCAAAAGTCAGTTTACACCCCCTGTCAATGGTGGGTGGGGAACATTGCATTACCCTTTGGGGCTTACTAATCTGAAAACCAGCAACAGTATGCCATCTTCTGAATAAATCATTAAGATTTACTCCATTAAATTCTTTACAAATCACTGCTCAGTGCAAGGCTCTTATCATTGTGAGTTCAGTCAATTCCTCAACTTGCTTGGTTTTTCTTCAAATATCCTAGCATTACTTTCACTCCACCGCTCCATGCACGCATTTCCACAATTTTTTTTTCACTGAGTAAAGCCATTTATCACATGTGATTTAAGCAAATCTACAACTTCAAGAGGTGCCACCGAATCTCTTCCAACCAAGGAAAATAATTTGCTACCACACCCGAGAGGCATAGGAGCAATGCAAAAGGAGATGGTTGGTATTTCCCCGTTCTTTAGGCATAGGGCAGGCACACACACAAGGAGAAAGAGACCAAATTTTCCACTTCCTTTGGAGTTTTCTTAGGTATTTATGGTTTGATTGGCCATCTCCCAACAAAAAATCGTTATTTTAGGAAGAATTGGAAGAGATTGTTTTTAAAGATGTAGCAATGACAAGGCAACAACAAAGTGGACAGATAAATTTAAGCCATAGCAATGAGTATCATGCTTAAAAAACAACATTTTTCCATTATCTAGTCATTGAGAAAGAATTTTGAGGAGGAAAAAAGAATATTGTAAACAATGAGATTGAGATATATGCTTCCATCTAGAATTAAATAAAAAAACTGCTAACATACCCTCAAATTACATGTCATTTAAATATTCATTGATTGAACCAAAAAAAGGGAAAAAAATAGATATTCATTGACAAGTCAAAATTGTTTTACCAATCTGATGTGCCAACAATAAAAGCTTAAACAACTTCAACAGATCCATTTACATCATGAGTTTCAATGAAAATCCTAACTGTTGATTCTGATTTTAGCAGTAATCCCAACATGAGACATGCAACAAATGTCACAGCTCCCTCACCCTTCAATGCAGTACTAAGCGACTTGAACCATGGTTAAGGATGAAATATCCCAAAACCTCAATGGATCAGAACTTCTTGCCAACTTATCATTCAGATCTGAACGGTCAACCTCTTGCTTCATATATAAATGTCAACATAACATTGAAAAGTTCAGCCTCCAAGAATGTGATGATGCAACACAGAAAGAATACTGAAGCTACCATTGGCTTCTTTCCTCCAAATGAATCCCAATCCACTGAATCCATGAAGAATAATTTTAGAGAACCCTAAGCCTTCAACCGTCTGAACTCAAACCAAATCTCATAGTGGTTGAAGAGAAAACTATCATGGGTGTGTTTACCCATATATTCGAGTCCTAGACTTGTCAACCGCTTTGTACACTCCTCTCCCCCCAACCGTGAGCAGAACTTTATATTATGAGAGACAAAAATCCTTCCTTCAAAAGGTTTCAACCTGGTCACCAACCTCTCTAGTCCTACCCAAACAAGCTTATCCGGCATGTGAAGAAAAACAGCACTAGCATATATCAAATCATACCGAATTCCAGAACCAAACCTATTAAAATCCATATCTTCGCCTCTCACAATCAAAGGGCGCTTGTGCAATAGACCCTGAGATGGAAGCTCATACCTAAATGCGGCCATCAAAGAAAGCTCATCCCTTTCTAAACAATGGTAATGCTCCGGAATAAGGTAACGAATAAAATGTAACCCAACACGGAGAGTGCCGCATCCAATCTCAAGGACACGGGCATCAGGCCTAAGTTTAATGGACTCTGCAAGGAACTCAAACACATCGCGACCTCCAGCCCAGGGCTCTCCATAGTTGCTGTGATGCTCCTCTACAAGCAATTCCCCGAGGCAAGGCAGAGCAGTGTGGTTGTTTGCTTCCTCTCCCTCGTAGTGCGATATGCCCTTGAACCTGAACATTGAACAAAGTTAATCCCTGATCCCAAATTCTCAACAAGTAGTGGTGGAAAATCAAGCAGAAACACAAGTATTAAAAGCGCTTGAATTTTGAATAGTTGACAAATCAAACAACAAATCTCAAGCAACTGGTGAAAGCAAAGGAGCAGTTAATAAGAGTGTCTCCCGAGATATAAAAAGAAATCTGTAGTAAAGTGAGAAATACAAATACCTAAACGAACAACAATGATAAACTTCTTTGAATTTAGAATTGAACAAAAGTCTAGATCTCGATCAAACAATTGTAAAAGGAGGAAATTGAATTTAGAAACAATTTTTTGTGAAACTTAGAAGAAAAAGAAATCTAAGATGGTATTCCGAATAGAAATGGCCGCATTTAGTTTTTCTTTTTTTTTTCACTTTTGGATCAATACACACTCCTACATCCTTAAGATTACAGGTTCAGTTTCAATTAGTTGTTGAACAAAAATATAAAATAATTATGTTGGAATTTAAGCGCTCATGGAGAGAGAGAGAGAGTACTGATTTAAATCTTGCAGCTGTTGGGCGCGAGTCCGAGGGTTAATGCCCTTGCGTAGAACATTAGGCAGCATCTCGAGTTTGTTTTGTTGGATCTGATATTTCACCCAAGCTATGTCTTCTTCTGTCGCCGAGATTTGAATGTCAGATCTATCGAAACTTCCGCTGTCGTCTGTGGTGATGGTGGCGGGGCGGGAGCAGGAGGAGAGGAAAGGGAAGAGAAAGAAGAGAAAGATAGCTGTCGCTGCAACTGATAGTACTAGTACTGGCACCGTAATAATCACCCCCTTCGACGGAGCCATTGCTGGCTTGCTGCTTACCGCTGTTGCTGCTCTGCTCTGCTCTGCTCTGCTCCTTCCCTTTTCGTGAGTTTTTCTGAACGGCGGACGAGTTTGAGAGTAAGGGCATTTTGGTCATAAAGGTAAATTTATTTTTAATTTTTGAAAAAGTTCCCGATTAATATACTATAGTAATAAATATATAATCGTTATCACTTTCTACTAACGGGTGAAAGACAAGAGTCCGGATTTCCCAATTTGCTCACGAGAACCCTGCCTATGCCTACTCATAATATACTATTCCCGTAAATTGGGAATATCTCCCCTTGCATAATACTATATAGAAGATGAGATATTTTTCATGTGCGACTGTCGTAAACGTGAAAATGTAATGAACTTGTTGTCAATTATCCATCCCCCTGACTGCAGACCATATTTAGATGCAATGAACTTTCTCTACCAACCATTTTCTTCTCAAGCCTAAACCACCTGAAAATCTTGGGCTACAGATTTGATCCCAAGCAATCACATGTATCTTTTTTTTTCCACTTCCCACCCTCCCTCTATTCCTCCATGATCTCAGTCTTCCCCTCATTCTCAACTTTTTCTCCTTAGTGGCATCTCATCTCTTTTCTGTATCATACTTCTGTGTCTTCTTCTATTTTATGCGACTATATCTCAAATTGTGTCCAATCCAAACATGGTCCATTGATCACCCCAATCTTATCTTCTATCAATAGACTAGATATTGGTTCAACCCAACCTAATCCAATATAAACCATTACACATGGACTAGGTCGAATAGAGTCCAAATTTTATAAGAGAATATTGGTTCCACCCAACCCAATCCAATTCTAAAATCACTTATTTTGTGCAAATACATAGATAGGATCAGGCTAAAGTATGAAAGATGACTTGAAACCTTTTAGAGAACTGGTGCATATTGTTTAACATATAGACATTTTATCTTTTTTCACTAAGGCATCTCAAGCATTTTATCTAGTGTTTAAAGAACCACAAACCAAATTGAACCATTTTAGTAGATTGGACATTCAATTTATGGTTTACACAGTCTGCTCTTTGAATTACCGAACTGCTTTATGAGCATTTTGGTTGTTCGCTTTGCATAGTTACTATTTAGTCTAATAAGTTAATGACTCTTATTCCCTTTACGTTTCTTTAGCAGGTCAGCAGTATGATGGCCATAAAGCATAAGTTAACATGATCAAATGAGAGCTAGTTGGAGAATTTTTCCAACTAGATTGGAGCAAATAAGACCCCCCCCGGGTCTTTGTAGCAGTATAGATTTTCTTAACTTTTCAAAATGAGAAATAACTGCTACGTCAGCAAACTCATATTGTTTTTTTTGTTAAAATGGCAGTCATTTTGGTTCAATTTTGTTTTTCATAGCCAAAGCTTATCCAAATAGTACCTAAGTTATGGGAACAAAACAGAAATTTTGTGAAATTTGTGACATATGCGGAAACTTCACATGTTATATTAACTCGTTCATTTTTTTGTTGAATCACCTCATTTAATATGTTTGGTATATATATTGAAAGTAGGTTGGATTCACTGAAATTTATTAGTGTCAACAATTTTGACTTTTCTTGTATTTTAGAGTCTAGAATTCAACATGAGCCAAGAAAAGAGAAAAAGGGTACAACAACATGACCCAAGTCCACGCTCTATGTTGTTGACAGTATGTTTTAATGATTTACTAATTTATTTCAATTTACTAAATTGCTAAATGGTTTGGAACTTAACCATGAACTATGTTTTTATAAAGTCTAAAAGTCTACAAGCTTGCTAATGTCCTGAAATATGCTGCATCAAAAGTTTCAATTGTGTGAGTTTTGTAAGATAATAGACTAAATTGTTARTGTTAGAATACACAAATCAGGGGTATTTTGGTCATTTGGGTTTATCTATTTGAGAGTGAAAGGTCAATTTTATTTAAGTTTAAGTTATGTCCCATCACTTATGAGGGACAATATGGTCTTTCTTGTAACTATGTTATTGGAGATAAATACAAGTGGGTTGGCTAGAGGTGGACTGATTTTTCCTAATCTGGTCGAACCCTTCTTCTCCTCCTTCTTCTTCTTCTCTTCTTCTTCTCTACTTTAACCTAGAATCGAATAGGGATTTTGCATAGTATTAGAGCAATAAAACCTAGTTCTCTTTTCCTTTTTTTTCTTTTCTTCTTTCCTCACTATTTGTCTTCTTCCTGGGTTCGCCGTCAACCATTTCAGCTTTCTTTGATTTTCTTCTAGCCTGAGTGGAAGCTCGACAAGAGGCCAAAAAGGAGTAGTCGTTTTGTGGTTTTGGAGGTGAGTATGCCTCCAGTTACTATGGTGGTGGTCGTTGAGGTTGTGTACTAGATGCCCTCTATTATGTGATACAAAGAGGGCTGTTTGTGGACAGGTATGAACAGTTCTGTTTTTTTGCCCAAATAGTGGACTGTAAATGYTGTGTTTTGGTTCAAAATATTTTTTTGTGGAGGTTTGAAGTGACTAGTATGCATATCAGCCTTGTTCTCCTCTGTTTTTACCTCATATGTGTGCTGAAAGTAGGGTTTTTTGACTACTGAAGTTCACGACAGCAGTGGTGTGGTGGTGGTTGTACTGTGTTGAATGGTGTGTGGATGCTTCTGAATAGTTGAAAGTGAAACCTTGTGTCGTGTGGTGGTGTTTATACTAATTTCTGTGTTTGATTTAATGACTGAGCGATTTCAGCTTTTGTATTTGATGTGCAATGTGTATTTGAAGAAGTTGGTGGTGCTGARAGTGAGATAAGTTTTGTGGAAGTGCGTGAGGTTGTGCTGAATATTTGAAGGTGAATTAGTTAAGATGGCATCGATTGGAGATGGGAATGACAATAAAACAAGCGTTATGATTTCTCCAGATTACCTAAATGTTCAAATGACATCTATTAAGTTGAATGGCGAGAATTATGTGTCGTGGGCAAAATCTGTGGAGGTGTTTTTAAAGGCTAAGAAAAAAGTAAAACATGTAAGAGAGGAGAAACCCTCCTCTGATTCTCCAGGGTTTAGTGACTGAGAACAGGAAGATGCACAAATAATGACATGACTGTGGAATAGCATGGAACCAAAAAATAGTGTGAACTTTATGTTCCTAGATACAGTTAAAGAAATCTGGGATCATGCTAAGAAACTGTACTCCGGACAAGACAATACAACTAGGGTGTATTAGTTGTACCAAGAGTACTTTAATCTGAAACAAGGCAGTCAAAGCTTGGAGGAATACTATGAAAGTTTGAAGAATATTCGAAATGAGCTCAATGTGTATCATCCTCTGACACAAGATGTTCAGATTCAGCAACAACAGCATGAGCAACTTGATGTGACAAGGTTTCTAGTGGGTTTGAAGGCTGAACATGAGCCTGTCCGAACACAAATACTGGGGGGGGGGGGGTCTGCTCTTCCCTCACTTGAAGAAGTTTTTGCCTGTCTTAGGAGGACATCTATTGAGTCTATAAAGCATTATTCTCTCTCAGATAGATCTGGTTTTGTGGTGACTAGAGGGGGAGGCCGTGGAAATAGAGGTGGTGGTGGTGGTCRTGGACTTCTAGGTAACCGTGGTGGTCCCATGTTTAACCGTGCTGGTGGCCGAAGTGGAGGTCGGGACTCAGGGGGAGGTCGTGGTAAAGGAAGAAGTAATGCCCCTAGRAAGTGTACAYACTRTGGATTAGAGGGGCACAYRGTWAATTTCTGCTATGATTTACATGGTCCACCCAACACTTGGGCTAACCATGCTGTGACTAAGGGTAGTGGTACAACTACTGATAGTCAGCATACTGACTCGATCCCCTCCACATCTACTGGTGCTTCTGGGAAGGAGATGGTGAGTGTACCCCGTGCAGTATATGAGCAATTCCTTCAGACATCTCAGCAGAACACAGCTACCCTTGCCCATTCAGGTATGGCTTGCTTGGCTTCCAAGCCCTCACACTAGATCATTGACTCAAGAGCCTTGGACCATATGTCTAGGACTCCGAATGTATTTTCTTCTCTTTCTCGATCCTCCACATCTCAAACAGTTACTCTTGCTAATGGTTTTACATCTCCCATCAGTGGTGTTGGTGATGTTGATCTCTCTCCTCCTTGTCTTTATCATCTGTTTTATATGTTCCCAAGTTCCCTTTTAACCTTATGTCTGTTAGTAGATTAACCAAGTCACTTAATTGTTCCATAACCTTTTATCCCTCTTCTTGTGTGTTTCAGGATCTCAAGACGGGGATGAAGATTGGTGGAGGGCATGAGGCTGGTGGATTGTATTACCTTGATGGTGGTGGCCCTCCAGTAGCTTTTTAGTCGTCTCTTACTCCTCTTCAATGGCACTGCAGACTTGGTCATCCTTCTCTCAAGGATCTAAAGTTGTTGGTTCCTTCCTTGAGCCATCTTTCATCTTTGGATTGTAAGTCATGTTAGCTTGGGAAACATCATAGAGTCTCTTTTAGTTCAAGAGTTGATAGTCGTGTTTCGAGTCCTTTTTCTTTAGTTCATTCTGATGTCTGGGGTCTGATCAAAGTGATATCATACAATGGCTATAAGTATTTTGTAATTTTTGTTGATGACTTTTCGAGGATGACATGGATTTATTTTATGAAAACTGCAGTGAATTGTTTTCTATTTTTCAAAAATTTTATGCTGAAATACGTACCCAATTTGGTGTTCATATTAAAATTCTTCGCTCCGATAATGCCAAAGAGTACACCTCAATACCATTTCAGCAATACTTAGAGCACCATGGGATAATTCATCAAACTTCTTGTGCCTACACCTCACAACAGAACGGTGTAGTTGAACGGAAAAATCGACATCTCCTTGAAACTGCTCAGTCTTTGATGCTTAATATGAATGTCCCAAAGCATTTTTGGAGTGATGCCATCCTCACATCCTGTTTTCTCATCAATTGGATGCCCATGTCCATCCTTGGAAGTCAATCCCCCTTCTCGGTGTTGTTTCCCACCTTGTCTCCGGTCTTTGGATGTGTTTGTTTTGCTCAAAACTTGGGGTCTGGTTTAGACAAGTTAGATGCACGAGCTACTAAGTGTATCTTCCTTGGCTACTCAAGGACTCA